AAAGCTTCAGTGTTAGTAGGTGAAGCATAAAATCAAGGGGATGAGGAAATCATGATCTCAGATCCGCAGGGCATTGGAAACTGGACTTCATAGAAGAGCTTGGGACAAATAACACAGTGTTTGAGGGTGAAAAAGGGGAGTCTTGGGATCTGACAATCTAAGGGAACTGGTTCTCAAAATCCAAAAATTGTAATTATCACCTGGAAGCTAACTTACCAGCAGGAGTCATGGACAGGTCAACTTGATGAGTGTCAGTGGCAGCCAGTGCCCATGATACAAAGACCACATGAAAATTCTGTATGCAAATACAAAGCCTGGTTGAATCTCAAGAAACCAAGCATAGGGTGTTTGGGGTACCCTTCTTGGCATGACGGAGCTGTTTGATTGAAAATAAAACCCTGTACAGAGTTGTTGTCAGTTCATGAAAAAGTTAAGCACAGAATTATTCAGCAATTCTCTGCAGTAGTATATACCCTTATCCAATGCATAAACATTTATACTTGTTTAGAAATATTCTTAGAAGCTTTACTCATAATTTTCCAAAGTGGAAGCATCCCAAGGATCAATAATACAGGAACAGTAAATGAAGGATGAATAATGGAACAAAATGTGCTAGAGGCATAGAATGGTCATGCAAAGGGAAGGAGTGGTGATGCGTGGTAAATAAGGATACATATTGAAAACGTTGTATTATATATAGTAAGGAAATGAAACTCAATAAAGTCATTTGTTCTAAGACTTTGTATGAAATGTTCACACCATGAAAATCCATAGAGACAGAAGGTACATTACTGGCTTCAGTGGAATTACAGGGAGAGGGGCAGTGACTGCCAAAAGCACAGAACATTTTTGGGGATGGAGTAACAAAATATTTTGAATAGTGAATACTAATATTAGCATAATTCTACAATATGTTAAGAATGCTAAATATTAACAATCTGAAGCATGGACAGCTTAGGTACGTGACTATATGACAATAAAGCTGTCAAATAAATTTCAAAAAATAGTTGAAAATCCTACTTGGAAAATCAGAAATAAATGGCTTCCATGACATGCATTATTTTAACTAGATTTTTAAAATGCACCAAGGAAGGGGCTAGATCAGTAATGCTGAAAGTTTTAGAGTTTTTGGTGGTAACACACAGCCTGCGGCAGCATGCATGCCAGAGGTTCGCTACCAATGGGCTACATTAAGCAGAGTCTTGTGCAATGGAAACAAGGCTAGAGTTGGAAAACATGTGGAGAAAGTTGTGGAAATGTGTTTCATGGGAAATAATTGAGAGAACTTGTAACACTGGACATAGCAATGAGCCTG